ACTCACTGCTGAGTGTTGGGCAACTGGCTCCCTGCTTGAGACTATTTCTATTATAAAATGAGGATTTTAATAGCTACCTCTGTTTTACAAGAATCTCATGAGAATTGGTCAGTGTCTGTAGAAAGTATTTTTTATTACACAAAAATTTTATTTATCTCAAGTATAAGCCAAGGAGTAAATGATTAGCAATTAACTCAGCTTTGTTTCAGAGAGCGAAACTTGGTCTGGTTCACTTGGTGCTCTCATTCAGTTGACCCCCCCGCAAAGGTGGCTTTGAACTCCTGCTGATTTTCTTGGTTTCAGCACACTGTTGAGCTCCAGACTAAGAGCCCAAAGTCCTAGATTCTCATCTCCATTCTATTACTGACAACCCGCATGGCCTTGGGCAATTCACTTAACTTCTACCTCTATAGTTTATCAGCTATGAAATGGGTATAATAATCAAAGAAGATAACTGTTCTTTGTCCTATAAAGTGCTACAAACATAAATGTAAGAGATTACTGTTATTAAAGTGGAAATCTAGGGGTGACTTACCTTACATAGGTTATATACCTTTCATGGGGTCCCAACTTTGCCTAAGTGTTTCCATGGACTGCCCAAGAGAGCAGCAGGAGGCCTGGGAGTTTGGTCTATGAGAAATATGTAGATCTCTTCTAGTTTCACCTTGTTGGTATTGAGCATGATTGTGGCCCAGGAGAGTGTATTTAAGTGACAGAAAATCAGTGACAAGGTCTCAAAGGAGAGCAGAAAAATACTGGGACTTTGGGAGCCAAAGCAGGCAAAAAGAGCCCTAAAGAGAGGGCTCTATCTTTAGGGCACTTCCTTTCTCTCTCCCATGAACATTTATTGAGCTCCTACTATGTGACAGGCACTGTGCTAATGTCTCTGGACCAGACTGTGTGTAGCCCTAGCCCTAACTCTGTTCTGGAGGGGTAGTGGACAGAGTGCAGTGACTCTGACACCCACTTACCCGATAGGCACCAGGCCAAATGCTGGCAAGTCAAGAGTTGCAAGACAGAGTGTGATGGGCCTGCCTATTCCAAGTATCTCCCACTAGCCTGCCAAGATTCCTCTGATCTGGTCTAAAATGCCTTCCCTCAGTAAGTGCTGGGTATTGTGCTAACCACTTTGTTCATATTATCTTATTACTTAATCTTCCCAACAACTCACTGGGGTAGGGACTATTATCATATCACTTTACATAGGAGGAAACTGAGGTTTGCTCACTTGTACCAAGTCATGTAGTGAGATAGCACCAGAGCCTACACTAGACCACAACCCCTTTGCCTTCCAACAGCCAGCACTGCAGGCTCTTCTTCCTGCCCTCTCCTAGCCTCCTAGAGCCCCTTTGCTTGTGCACACATCCACTCGCACACAGAAAGCCAGAAGTGCCTGAGAATTTACCTACTTCTGGGGCAGCCCATAACTAAGACTGTCAGCAGGTGCTGGAGAATCACAGACCAGCTTCTTTGCCTCTTGTGGGGACAACTCTGGAGTGTATTCTCCAGCAGTCCCATGCAGGATCAAGCGGAAGTTACTTTCTGTTGACTTTTGTCTTGCTTGACCTCCTCCTTTGCCCTGTCCTGCTCTTCCTATATCCCTAAAACATCACTAGCTCACAAGGGTCAGCTCTGGGCAATCAAGAGTCCCACTCGGGTAGGGGCTGAGCTGGAGCAGGATGTTATTCAGTGACTGATTCCAAGAGAGAATTCAGAAGCTGTGTCTAGCAGTGACAGCCTGATCAAGAGTCCAGATGACCCCAGAGATCCCAATAATTGTGTCACTTGGGAAATACATAGGCTTCAAAAGAGCCCCTCAAAGTGCAAGGCATTGACTTAGACATTTATATACCTATCTTATTTAATATTAGAACATCTCTCTATTGGGCTTTTCCAGCTTTCATTGAAGCATACAGATTCAACAAAATTCACCCTTTACTAATCTTAAAATCACATTGTAGGTGAAATAGCACTTCTAAATTTCACTTTGGTGGGACTCTGTCGATATGTTGCCTCGGTTATGTGAAGCTTCATTCAACCCCATCATCACTGCCCACCCTCTCCTGCCAGATGTCCTGTTTCCCATATTGATGTACATGACATTCATGTGGGTGGCATTCACTTTACCCCCTGAGATGATTGGTGATCTGGGTGGTGCTCTAGAGCTTTGCCATCTAATAGAATAGCCACTAGCTGCAAACAGCTATTGAGCATTTGAATTATGACTGGTCTGAATCGAGATGTGTTTTTAGTACAAAATATACATGAGGGATTTTGAAGTCTCAGTGTGGAAAAAAGAATGTAAATTATCTCAATAATTTAAAAATATTTATTACATGTTGAAATAACATTTGAGGTATATTGGGTTAAATAAAATTAATTTTATCTCCTTTTACTTTTAAAAACATCATTACTAGAAAATCTGAAATTACACATATGGCTTGCATTATATTTCTATTGGGCGGCGCTGCTCTAGGGACCCAAAAAAGGGAAGGTTTAGCAGGTGAAGTTGTCCAAATCCTGGACAAGCTGAGCTGGGAAGAAATTGTGTGCTTGCTTTGATGGCAGGGTTCTTTATGGGATGAGGAGGCAGCAAGGTGAGTCCTATGTGAGACCACTTTAAAAGGCACGTGGTTCTGCAGATGGCTCTGTGCGTCTCTGGCCAAGAGGAGTTATGGTTGACAAAAGTGGCTTGTAAATTGGTCATCTGTCCAAATGACATCACTGCCTCTCTGCTTCCAAGTTGGGATTTAGTAACTTTGCAGAATTCACATTTCTTTCTTTCTTTCTTTTTCTTTCTTTCTTTCTTTCTTTCTTTCTTTCTTTCTTTCTTTCTTTCTTTCTTTTTAAGATTATATTTATTTATTTGACAGAGACACAGTAAGAGAGGGAACACAAGCAAGGGGGAGTGGGAGAGGGAGAAGCAGTCCTCCCACCAAGCAGGGAGCCTGAAGTGGGGCTCAATCCTGACCTGAGCCGAAGGCAGACACTTAACGACTGAGCCACCCGGGCACCCCTGTTCTTTCTTTCTTGCTGTCATATTCTTGAGGAGAAAGAGGCCAGTTGAGGGAAGAGAAGAGGAGGAGAGAGAGAAGGGTGGGAGGATTATTGTTGATTACAGTAAGGAGCTGGGAAGGACACAAGGAGACCCTAGGGAGAAGATCTCATTGGTTAAAACAAAAGGTTCAAAAAGTCAACTAGTCAAGTGATTTCTCTCTCTCTCTCTCTCTTCTTTCTCTCTCTTTTTCTCAATCTCTTTCTTTCTGGGGACTTTTGACTTTTAATGTTTATGATTGTTCTGGGAAACCAGAAGCAGTTACTTTTGTTTTGCAGATTAGGAAATGAGGGAAAGAAACTGATGAGGGATTCCCAGAGATAAATAGGAGGTGTGGAGAAAGGAGGAGGAGCAGGATTTAGGGGTAAATCCTTCTGTGTTGACATGGAAGTCCCAGTTTGGGGAAGCGCATTCTATCATCAGGGCTCAACCCTGGGGCCTTCCCATTTCAGTGACTTGGCTGGGAGATAATGGCTCTCTAAGGGTCCTGTTCATGTGTCTGAAGTTCAGGAGATCCAGTCGCCTAGTAGGATGGCGACTGCCTCAATTAGTACTGTTTCTGGGACGAGGCTTTGGCATTGTCACAAGCCTCCCAGCTCTGTTTGGGTGCAATTAATGCATTACTCTAAAGGCACCTGTCACCAGCAAACTAAAGTGAGAACACACCTGTTAAAAATGTTCTTTTTGAGTCCTGTTTCTGTTCCCTTCAACGGCTCCCCATTGCCCACTGAATAAAAACCTAACTCCTTAGGCTGCCTCCAGTACCTTCCACAATTAGGACCCAGGTTATCTGGCTGCACTGATCTCTCCCCACCCTCTCTCATAGCTCCTGGGCTCCAGCCAAACCACATGCCTGCTAGATCCTCTGCATGCCCCACACTCTTGCATCTACTTCCGGTGTTTATTACCTGGAAGTCCTATTCACAGTTGTCACATAGCAACATTTTCCTTCTCCATCAGCAGCCATCCCTGGCCAGCACAGCACTTCGTAAGTCTTTTTGACCCTTGTAGACTATTATTTGTGCATGTGTCCCTGCTAGGGGCTAGGGGAGAGACTGTCTGTATTAGCCAGCCTGGGCTGTCATAAAAAAAATACCATAGACTGGGTGGCTTCAACAACAGAAATTTATTATATTTTCATAGTTTTAGAGACTGAAAGATCAGGGTGCCAGCATGGTCAGCATCTGGTGAGTACTCTCCCGGCTTACAGACAGCCACTGTGTGCTCAGACGGCAGAGAGAGAGTTTTCTTGTCTCTTCCTCTTCTTTTAAGGACACCAATCCTATTGGATTAGGACCCCCCTCTTACAACTTCATTTCACCTTAGCTATCTCCTGAAAGCGCTATCTACGTTGGTGGGTTAGGGCTTCAATATATGAATTTTAGGGGGACACAATGAAGTCCAGAGACTGCTTGATATTTAAATCCCTTCCAGGATTTTGAGCCCCAGCTGGCCAGGCCTGGGTGTGGGGACAGCCTCCAGGCCAGAGGAAGGCTGGAATGAGGACTGAGAATGAAGTCAGAAACCCTGTTTTTGGGTACCTAGTCATTAAAAAAGTACAGATAAGGCCTGAGCAGGGGAGGGGCCCCACAATGCTCCCAGAAGAATCTCCAGCACTCTGAGCCATTGAAGTAGTTCTTTGGGCCAGTAAAGTAGTTCTAGATCCCACCAGCTTGGCCAGTAGGGCTCCTATTGTCCCTTCAGATCTGGGACTGCTATAGGGACCATAGCTGGGCACAGCAGAGCAGGACAGTTCTGTTCAGTAAGTTTCGATTGAATTTCTGTTGCGTGCTGGGTATTAGAGGAACAGAGAACAATCATCCTGGGTCCTGACCTTAGTAGGAACCTCGCTGTTGCATGGGGGCAGATGGGTGTGAGGGGGGATCTGTTTTGACCTAGAACTAAGAATCACGGTAGGACTCATATTGACTCATCTCTCTTCCAGGGCCATGTTCTGCAACGATTTAAAGGAAAAATATGAGAAGAGGATCATTATCAAAGGGGTCGATGCTGAGACCATGCACACTCTTCTGGACTACACGTATACCAGCAAGGCACTAATCACCAAGCAGAATGTGCAGCGGGTCCTGGAAGCTGCTAACCTCTTTCAGGTGTGTGAACAGTCTCAATGCTCTCCTCTGGAGCAGGGGAAAGCAGCGACTCCTCAGAAATCTGCCTGGACTGGCTCCCAAGCTCGTACCTGGCACACATATATACATCACACTCACACACACACTTAGCTGGGCCTCTACTTACTTGAAAGTCAGAAGAGGCTCCTTTGGAAATTTCCTGAGAGGTGGTGAGATGCGGCATTGATTTCTTAATGCCATCAAGCCAGGACAGCGTGGTGCCTGGAATCTATACTTGGTTCCTAACAGCAATGACTACAATTTGCTGAAGCCTAATTGGAGCCAGGGGTTCCAGTCATCACTTCAATGTGTAACTTCTTTTTTTTTTTTTTTAAGATTTTTAAAAATTTATTTTGAGAGAGAGAGAGTGAGCAGGGGGAGAATCTCCAGCAGACTGCACTGATCCCTGAACCCGATGCGGGGCTCAATCCCCACGACCCCGAGAGCACAGCCCCAGCTGAAACCAAGAGCCAGATGCTCAACCGACTGAGCCACCCAAGCACCCCTCATGTATATAACTTCTAATCCTTAGCACAACCTGGGGAGATAGTTACTTCTCCCTACTTTACAGGAGGGAAGAGTAATAATGTACAGAAATGGGTTATTTGAACCCTGGGCTTTCGAGTCCAGGAGCTACATTTTTGCAGTACAACATGCAGTCTTTCTGGGAGCAGTGTCTAGATTTTGGGGCACGCAGGACCTTGCCTGGTCAGTACTTTGTGGTGGGTGTGGAAGAAGAGCACTTTTCATGAGGGGTATTACAGAAGATAAAAGAGAGAACCCTCGGGATTATGTTTTATGGTTTGCATTTGACTATGTTTGTTTCAATCCGATTACAATTATATTTAGCTTCATGGAATAAGTAGACCCATAGATTCTGTCGGTTGCATCCATAGTTATCATAGGGGCTCCATCCCCCATTGCCATCTTTACCTAGGTCTAAAAGTACACTTGAACTTGGTTTTGCCAGATTAAGCAGAGAGTGTCTCACAGAGGTTGTTGAAATTTATGAGAGTCCAGGGACAAGCCCGGTCATTCCCAAGGACTAGGACAAACATCAGATCTTGTGCATGGTTTGGGACTTTGGGAGGTGGTATCCTCTTGGATCCTCTGTAGGTCAGCAGGTAAGGGGAAACAAAACAAAGTCTGGGAAGGTGGGGAATGAGGGGCCATGAGTCAAGACCATGGACAGTGGGATTATTTTTGTTGAAGCTGGAGTCTAGGCAGGATCTGTGGAGTACAGCAAGGAAAGGAGAGTAGAAAGGGGGAGGAAACTATGAAACAGCACTGATGAGTTCCGAATAATTGTTTGCCAGTTTTATTGTCTCAGTTTCTTCAGGGCATTTTAAAAGATACTTCCGTCAGGGCTGGTCACACCTTCTGGTGATGTGTCCAAGTCAGTTACCCCCCCACACACACCCCCCACACACACACAGCCTTACCCCTTTCTCCATCCTGACCTGCTTACCCCTTCAGCCTTACTAACCGACAGGGGAATACTCTTCTTTCTGTGGAGGGAGGGACTCCACAACCTCATGCTCAGCAGCCCTATCTCATCCCACCTCCCACCCCTGCGCCTACTGCTCCAACAATCTGACCTCAGGAAAATCCTTCCCTGATAGGGCCTCTATCTAGTTCAGTTTTTGCCTGGGGACTATAAGACAGCTGCATGTATTCTACACTGGGTGTGAGGGTGTGGGCGTATTTACAAATCTTTACTTAGCCCCCTTATTTTCAGTATGATGTCCTCATGTGCCTTCTTCAATTTCTGGTGTCCTTGGTCCAGAACCTCTCTGGTCTGGTTTCTCCAGAGGATAAATCTTCTTTTCTATCGGGAGTGGAGTTGTTAGATCACAAGAGGTGGGGAGGCGTCCCAGCAGGCTTAAATTCTTCTTCTTCTTCTTCTTTTTTTTTTTTTAAAGATTTTATTTATTTATTTGACAGAGAGAGACACAGCGAGAGAGGGAACACAGGCAGGGGGACTGGGAGAGGGAGAAGCAGGCCTCCCACTGAGCAGGGAGCCCAATGCGGGGCTCGATCCCAGGATCCTGGGATCATGACCTGAGCCGAAGGCAGACGCTGAACAACTGAGCCACCCAGGCGCCCCAGCTTAAATTCTTAAGGTGGGGCTGATACCAGGGGTGGTACCTGGCCTTGCTCTTTCCCTGGGACTTTAATATTCCTGCTTTCTGGGGTTCTAAGGGACAAACTCCTTTGTAGGCACTTGGTCTGACCTCTTTCCTCTCAGCAAAGCCATTTGCCAGTCTTCATAGTCTGTGGTTTGGGGTTACTGATAACTCCCAGTTTCATGGAGGAGGGAGTTTGTGTTTCTGTTTCTTGTTCTCCTTTCAGTTTTGGGTGATTTTAATAAAAACTCTTTAGATAGTAAAGAGTTTTGTAATGTTGCAAATATTTTCCATTGGTTATTTGATTCATAATTTTTGGTTATGACTTTTTTTAAGGTACAAAATTTAAAATTTGTGTTTCGTTAGATCTATTGATCATTTCCTTGATGTTTTTTGCCTTTGTTATGTGTTTTTAGAAAGACCTTCCCTGCTGCTTAAGTATATACTTATTCACTTATAATTTCTGTTAGTCTTGTTATATCCACAGCTTTGATACTTAAATCTCTAATGTATCTGGAAATGATTTTGCCATTAAGTTTCTCCTTGTCCTTGTCCATCTTCCTCCTCCTCCTCATTTTCTCTCAAGTGGTGAGCTTCAGTAGAGATTTTGGTTTTAATCAGAGGTGGAAGGAGGAGGAAGACAGAGACAGGATAGAGATAGAGCGTGCTTAGTTTATTATTGATTCCCCTATTCTGGTAATCCCTCACCTTAAAATTTTCCAAATCTCATTCACTTTCTAGGCAAAAAATACTAAGTTTCTCTTTGAGGCTGTTTTACTCATTTTCCTATGAGTGTTAATTCTTATGAAAACAAGAGAAGAGTGTTCTGGGCGTCTGGGTATCTATTTAACCCACTTTCTGATTTCTGTTGCTTCTGGATGACTTGCTTTGAAGTCTTAGATGTAGAAAACTGGGAATATCTTCATGCTTGAAAGCACCATAGGTTGAAATCACTTTGTGGTTTTAAAAAAGTATTTATTCATTTGAATGAATAAAACATACCCTTGTTCCAAATTCAGGAAACAGAAGGGGAAACAGTGGAACATTTTGCCCTGTTCACTTTTAACCATGTCTTGCTGTCCTTCACATCCTATGCACAACGTATATGTGCATATATCACTCCCACTCATTGTCTCCAGTTTTTAAACATGAATGTTGGCACACTATACACCCTGTTTTGCATGTTGCTATTTTTGGCTTTACAATATATTTTGGAGATCGTTACAGATCAGTATGCATAGAGACTTTTCTTTCTTTCTTTTAAGGTTTTATTTATTTGAGAGAGAGAGAGAGAGTGAGCACGAGGGTGGGGAGGGACAGAGAGAGAAGGAGAGGCAGAGACTCCCAGGCAGATTCCCTGCTGAGCTTGGAGTACAACCGGGGCTCAATCTCACGACCCCGAGAGCACGACCCCAAGAGCACAACCCAAGCCGAAACCGAGTAGGACGCTTAACCGACTGAGCCACCCTGGTGCCCCTGCATAGAGCCTTTTTGATGGCTGCATAATGTTGTTGGGGTCTCCTGAGAAGTGGAACATGTCAAGTTATCTTAATGGTCTCTTATAAGGCAGAGTGGTAGAGTGGAAAGAACATGGGTGCTGGAGTCAGGCAGAACCTGGGTTTAAATCCCAGTTCAGTCATTTATTTGCTGGGTGGATGTGGACAGGTTATTTAGATTGTCTGAGCCTCAGCTTTCTTATTTGTAAAATTAGGATGATAACAATACCTATACCTACCTTTTAGGGAGAGTTATTATGAGGATTTAATGAGATGCTATTTGTAAAATGCCTGGCACAAAATAGATGGTGGATAGAATTTTCTTCCCATCATTTGTGCATTAATTTTAACTTTACTTTGGGCAATTTGTACCTTAAGTAAACTGAGCTGACATTGAGCTGTGAGAACATTTTCCTATGCCATCCCCAAATCTTTGCTTTTACCTGGATTAGAATTATAAGAGACCATGATTTAAAGTTTTGTTTTATCGTGTTCATATGACACTTGGTTAGTAGAACGAATTGGACTGGTGCTATATTTAATTAATCAGGATTATAGATAGAGAAAAGTGTGCCAGAGTTGGCATTTTATCTTGTTTTTTTAGAACATCCACAGAAGTCAATACCACCTTTGTGGGACTGAAATCAATGGGAATCAGAGTATATTGGTGTTCTCTACCCCATCCGGTGGTAAAGGTTTTTAGTTGTCACACCATTGCTGATTCTCAGCTGTTCTCTCACTTTCTCCTTCTCTTTTCACCTCTCTTGCTATTATCCATTGATTGCTTCTATGCCAGAATTTCCCAGTCCAGAAAGAGATCTCTTGATTGACTCAGCCAGTCACCACTATTGCTGTTTGAAAAGAGCTTTCCATGCGAGGCAACTTCATGAGTTGCCGACCTCACGAAGATGGCTAACCCTTGGGTCAGTTACCATTACCATTGTCAGTTGTCACTGGTCCAATCATCTGTGCCCAGGGTGGGATAGTTTCTTTTAGGAGGAAAGTTAGTGTGGGGCAGGTACTGAATGAACTGCCCATGAGAGGAACTTTGCAGTAATCTAGCCATAATTTATTGGTGAATTATGGGGAGAAATGTATTTTCTCCAAGTAGTGTCTAGAAAGGTAAGAGTAAGAAAAGCACCTACGAGGAAAGGCCTGAGTGACCCTTCACTTGGGAGGCAGGGTTTTGAGATGAATGTCATCCATTGGGGGCCCCGAGAACCTGTCTTAGCTGGAACTTCAGGCTCTTGAGTTCTAGATGAGCAAGGCAGTCAGAAACTGTAGAGACTGTAGACCTGGGACAATGGCTATAAGAACTTGGTGAGATTCTTTAGTTTTGGAGAACTGCCCCATTTATTTG